TAATGTGAAACCGCTATAATTACTGATTCTCATTTATGTAAAGCACAAAATATCACCGCCAACAAAAATGGGATACTACTAGTGAGGAATTTCTCGAAGGTGAAGAATGAAAACGCAAATCCAGCCAAATTTTCTTGTCTAGAAAAAGGACAGTTTATTACTACTTACCCAACAAGGTTGTTTGTCCGTTTGTTATACGAAGCAATCGTAATAAAAACACCGAAACCAATTCCGGTAGCAAAAACAGCCTGCTCGATGGCCGTCTTCCACATCTTTAATGAAAAGCTAGATTATTAAAGCGAAAAAAGATGTACGATGAAGGCTTTACTATTGCAAACATTTCTTTCACTTCACTGATTCCACCAACATGTCAACATGACGTTAACTTATGGGCGCGATAAGTAATATTGTCACTAATAATTGCCGCCAAAATGCAGCTTATATTTGGATTCCAGTAAAGTATCTATCTCATCTCGAAAATGATTTCACTAATTAAGTTGAGAGAATATCGGACATCCACCTTTACTATATTTTGATTGCAAGCTAAAATTCCGAAATATCCTTCGTATCTTTACAACTTTCAAATATTAAAAACTCTCTTTTCCTTTTTAGAAATTGAAAGAAAAAAATAAAAGTGCAAAATTCACGAGATAATCAGTCATTCGTTGCCAGTCGGTGGTCTCATAAAATTTCACCAATATTTCAGGAAAACCTTGAAGTGTTAAAGCACGTACTAGAAGTAAACACAGTAAAACCACAGGCATGATGAAGGTTAAATGCATAACCTGGAATGATTTCACAATAACTATAAATAAAAAGTTCGACATTTCTACGCACATAAACATTTTATGGCGATTTTTTTTTGTCAGCAGAAACTTTTGCAATAATTAATAACCCTTAACCTTATTCTAAGTAAACTTCCTCATTAATATATAAAGATTCGTATAACGTTCTTAGGGAAGTTTTTTTTCTATAAGATACAAAGAAATCACCAAATTACCGAAACCGCGACTTTCATAAATTAGATAAATAAATTAGTTAGTCAATAAACATCCATTTTCAAATTACTTAAAATTAAAAGCTTTCCACAAATAATCGTGTAACAATTAAGATCACAAAGTTATTCATGGCAAAAGGAAGAATATACACAAAGGTAATTTCACCGCATACTTAATAATCGAAGGAAAATTTCAAATATAAAATTCTTGCCTTTCCTAACCAACGGACACCAAAACAAGTGGCCAGAAAGACTAGTAACCAAACGACTCCCATAGAAGCAAGAATATAATATTGCAAATGGCCTGTTTCCGCAATGTTGCTCGATGGTCGTTCCAACATTCTGCAAATCGCAACTGAATTCATTTCAGTTAACCAAACATAGAAAGAATGACATGAGTTTCAGGAAGAAGCGTACGTCATGAACTGAACAAGTGATGATTGGGCATTTAAAGTATTCAGTTTTGTCGTACTAGCATATGTGAGATTTGCCACGGAGCCAGCCTCTTCGCATGGTAATGTCTGAAGCTCGGGGAAACTCTTACAATGCAACCATGGTAAGCCTGCAAAAATGACATGAAAAATTTTGTAAAAACAAGTTAATTTAGATCAAAATTTTTTTAATTCAATAAAAATGATAGCAAGCTAAATAATGACCTGGTCGTCCAGCTAATATAGCCCAGAAGAGATGAAACAGGTAAAGCTGAAGCCATGCCAGGTACCGCGTCATGTGCGCCAATATGAATAGGGAAAAGATTATTTGGGCAATGCCAACGCCTGAAACAACTGATGATAATATAAAATGAACAAAAATGTTCAACTGAAATTCGTGAATTGAAAAATAATAGAAACGTTTGATAAGCAGTAACTTTTATGGGGTAAAAAGATAAACAGTGATAACTAATTGCATGCAAACATCACTAAAGCCATCGTTTTTATATGAAATCCAACCATCTTATGGAGGACGCCATCCTCCCTCCATTCAACGCTTTTGACAAACATTTAAAAAAAAAAACCGGAAAAACGGGCTTTTTGTAGAGATGAAAACATTGAGGCAAACAGTTGCAACTCTGTCATTTAATTTATAAAACTGTTGGGATTTGGAGTGAACCGAGATTGAATGGATTAGTAGGACAGCAGCACACAACAAGGTCATAAAACAATTGATAGATTACTATTTGTTTGCTAGACATTGCAATCATAATCACTACCCGATCAAATCATGTCAAGAGTGCTGCTATGATGTATTCCCATGGAAAACACAACAAAATCCATGCAGAGGAATTAGGAAATGTATGAGATTGCTGCGAGAAGAAAAAACAAATCCTTCTTATACTTACCTTTGAAAAGTGGGCATATGTTGTAAAGTGCTTTGACAGGTGCTCGTCCAGCAAGCTGTCCAACCGAAAATTCCATTACAATAATTGGCAAAACACAAACAAGTAATGATGTACCATAAGCCGCGATAAATGCTACTGAAAGGAATCAAAACATCACTGAGACATTTATTTTTCACTTTGTTATATGTATAAGTGAGTACACGTATTCACGCAACACATGTTTTCTTGTAGGGAGACAGTTGTAACAGTTCTTCCATGAAGTTAAACCAAATAGTCATCTTTTACCTATAAATTAATTCATATTTCGCTTTGTTATACTTACATTCATACACTTCATCATTTCCCTTGCTGAGACATTTCACGAGATTTCAGCAATTATTTATCTATATTTGTCAGTCACTTCGACTGCTCATAAATGTAATGTCTATCTGACAATGTCGTCAACGCAGATCGATAATTTTCCTTCATGCAAACAGTTCCTACTTACTACTTTTACTCATTTCACATGAAAATTGAACTTACATCCGCCATTTTGAAGTATAAGTCCCGGCAAGTTGAGAAAATTGGTAGTTGCGAAAACATATGCAAGTGATGCGACAACCATATCAATTTTGATAGGCCATAGGTCACGCCACTCCTCTACAAGCATCGATGACATCTTCAGGTTAGACCAGCTTCGTTCCTCAAACCACATTTTTATCTCTTCTTTGACCTGTAAAAATATAAAATTTTGTATATTCACAGATGGATTGTTTGTTGTTCGATGAATAATGAATGATTTGCAAAATATTTCTTTTGACAGTTCGAAATGACACTTTCCAAAATTTACATATCATTTGAAATTAATTTCAGTTAAGGAAAAAACCACTAAGTGTACAAAGTGCCCATGGAAATTATGCATAAATATAAGAAATTACAGTGAAAATTTTGTAAATGAAGAGAGTAAAAAGGGAATAAATAAAGAAATAAGCAAAGGAAGAAATGCACACTTAGGGGTAAACTAAAAGCAGTAAAAAGCTATGGAAGTTTATGAATAAGCGAATAAATGATGGATCTCAATCGGTCGAACAGAATCAAGAAATATGAGCGATTAATTCACCTCTTCAGTGGAAGGTAAAAGATTAAAAAGGGACTTCAGCTGTTTAAATTTTTGATAATGTTTCGACTCTAAATTTATGGAAAAGAAAAATTTATTCTATATGTTAAAGAATCCCATAATATTTATAAATATTCAAAGTTTAAAAACCAAATTTCATTAATTTTCACTATTTAACTCGACTAACTAATCTGCAGCGTTTACTATAAGGCTTGGAATATGACACAGAAACGTTTAGAACTGTTCATTCATTAATAACTTAACTATAATTATATTTATCATTTAACCACTTTTCAAATATTTATCATTACTAATTTCATCATGCCCACTGCTTTACTCATCCAACCAGAGACAATCATTACCTGTAATTATCGAAACTATTCTTCAGTTTCAAACGGCCTTTTATACTCACATTTCATATAATCCTTCCTCCTATCACCCCTTCATATCCGTAAAAACAATATTCGTGGAATATGTCAATAGGAATTGATAAGAAAGAAGTGATTTGATAAATTGGGAATGAAAAGCAAAGTAAAAAAAAATTAAAAATAAAATTCAGAGAAGAATGAAGTGACAGATAAAGAGAGACGGACCGTAGAGGACGACATTTTCGCACACTTCGAGAGTGGCATTTGGAAGCGCAATCGGAAGAGCCATCCTTTCTTCTCCTACCTATTCTCTCTCCAAATTACATTTATTACAAACAAAGAAAAATGAACGATCATTAATCTATAAAAGAGATCCCCTCGAACGCACTCCCTTTCTGCGCCTCCCCTCATTTCCTTTCCGTTTCAATTCAACTCTCAAGAAGAAAGTGAAAAGTGGAACTGAATCGAAACATTATTAATTCATGTGCAAATTAAAATTGAAAAAATGATAGCATTTATCTTTCTTCCAAATGCTAACTTCACCTTGAGAAGAGCTATTCGGATATTGATGGTACAGGAAGTGATGAAGGTTGCCTTGGGAAGAAACGATGGACAGTGGTCAGCAGGACATTATCATGCAATGCAACCTAATCCAAGCAGAACGAGTGTACCTGATAAGATGAGACTGTGATGAAGAATGGGTAACTTAACAGAAATGAAGCCATCAACCAACAAAGTGTGAACCCATAAATACAGTTCATAAGTTGACAATATCTCCTACAGAGGTTACCTGTTTGTTCCATGAATGTCACATTTAGATTCTTACAATTTTTGAAGAGAGGGAAATTCCGAAAATTAAAATTTGCGGTAGTTGCAAAGAGAAAATTTCCGGTAAAATGCTAAAATATGAAGGAAAGAGATTATTGTTAACGATTTTTTCATTCAGCAAAAAATGATTGTTAGAAGAGAAGAGCAATAATTTTATCGCTTATTCAAGCAATCCTTTCCACCCCAAGGCGGAAAAGTTACAAAAAAGATCAAATAGCGTGATTTCCGCAATGAAAATTAATCAAAACTGAAATAAATCACACAGGAATTAAACAAGTCTGAATAAAAAAGGGAAGCTAACCTTTCCAGCAGCTCCACTTCGAACTTGATGATAAATGTCAAACATTTTGCTCATAATAATTAAATAAATACCCGAATTAAGGAATCAATAACCAATTGGTATAAAAATACAAACTGACCAAATTTGTCTGTGATCCAAGCAAGATTTAAGATTAAATGAGAAACTTTAAGTGCAAAATACATTTTTTCCCAATCTCAATAACTTGACCTTTTAATTAATGAGCAAAATTGCATATTCATTATGTGATCAAAACCCCCGTCATTCATTATAATTTTGTTTTTGCGGATAGGCGTCAGAAAATTTATGAAATGCCTTTGAAATGTAATGATGTGATGTGCAACTTTAGTGAACAAAATGGAGAGGAAAAGATGAATGAGTTAAGAGATGATCAGGCGCATTATCAACGGACGAATTAGAAAAGAACGTGGTGGATTTCGAGAATAAATATAAAACTGTTATCTAAAACCTGAAATTAAAGGATTGAAAGGACAAAATTCTCCAATGCAAAGTGTTCACGACGAAACGAAAATTTTTTACCGCATTTCCTTTGCATAGGCTTTGGAAAATGATCTAAGAAATGGAAATTTCAATGCTGTCTGAGCGAGGAGTCTTGCTTAATTAGATTGGACCTATTCTTTTTCTATTCTTTTCTCATTTTACTTTCCTCGTCGGTCATTAATCCTGAGAAGGGTCATCCTGAACCATTCTACACGGCAACAATACGAGGACACGCAAAATGTGAGTGGAGCAAAAAAAGAACGGATTTCTCTTTGGTAAATAAATCAGTGTGAAGAAGCAAGCTTTTTCCTCTGCAAAGACTGATGAGAGATGAAGAAGAAAAGTTTGCAATTTTTTCTTGATGGAAAGGTTGCACGGCTACGAGAAGGAAAAACTGGGAGAGAGAGTATCACTTTCTCCCTTCCTTTCAATAGCCATCTTGCGGATTGTACTCCCTCTCCTCCATCCCTTCACCACCGCCGACCAAAACTGCGGGTGATGATAAAATGTCCGTAGCTAGGAGAATAACATACCGATGGGTTCAAAGGAGCAGATTCTATTTCAAAGCATTAAGATGGATGAACGGATGAGTTACCAACTGATCTCCACCAGTTGTTTACACCAACAATTCCGCCCTGATATTACATCTTTGTACAAAGTATTTGTTTGGTTATATAACAAACTCATCCACATATTCCATCTTCAGGAAACGTTCAAGAAACCCAATGAGCGTCTTTTGCTCCCATGACGAGAGGAACGTTAGATTCTGACAAAGGGAAGAAGGTTTGATGTAAGAGAAGAAGACGGATTCACACCTTCGCACTTTTAAAATATAACAATTATCCAGTCAATATAGAGTATGATTATAATTTCATCTGCTTACTCCCTACACTCTGATCCAAATTTTCAGGGACAGCCATGCTACGCATAGCAAAATTAAGATTTTCAGAAGCGAAAGGAATAAGGCTCACGTAAAATTCTTTGACAGTGTCAAATGAAAATGAGGAAACACAACAGAAAAGCATAGTGAATTTGCAACTACCAAAGCTTTCGATGGAAATTTCTGAATTACGGAAATAAACTAGCGTGAAATAGTGGAAAAATCATGGCCGCACGGTAAATACTGGAGTACCACTTAAAATTTATTGACCTTGAAAATTTCAAGGATAAATAATAAACTGCTCTCATTTGTTCCATCCAATCGATTCAGATTATGGATGGAGATTAGAGCAAATCTATGCTACACAGTCGTGATATAAAGCCGAACAAACTGCATTATTGGTTTGAAATTCAAACTTTAAACTGAGCTGTCACTGTTGGTTAAATATGAGAAAATTAATAAGCTGATAACCGGTTACGTCATGTGCTCGCAAAATGCCATTACCAAGAGTGAAGCTCAGAAAGAATCAGAAAATGAATAAAATTTTTACCGCAGCAGTGTCCTTCGATCCCCGCAGTCTTCAACTTTTCAGTGCGATGCATACTTTCGTAAATTGTTGCTTTGAACTGAAACAGCCACGAAACCTAAAAAAAGCAGAAGAGAAGAGAGCAGAAAGTTATGAAGCAACGACGAATTATGCGTCGGATGACCAGTGAAGGCCAACTGGCTGAGGGGATCATTCATTCAGAAATTATTCCACACATTTTAAATTAGCAAATTTCTTTCATTTCTTTCTGGAATGGAAGATTTGCTTGAAAACAAACTGTTACAATAACTCTGGAAATTGATCCATTTCATACCAGGAGTTTTTTTTTGGGTATACAAATTAATCTGTGAGAATTGCACAACTACTACGAAATGATCCGCAATGAATTCTCATTTCAAATGAATAAATAACAGTGCTCATATTTATTTGTAATAGGAAAAGACCCACTATCAGACGAGTTTCAATCCACACTTCTATAATTTCTTGGCCAACAGTATCATCTCTTAACCTTGGCGACCTATTTTTCTCGATTTATTTCTTTAACACAAATGATATAATCCCAGCAGTGAATCAATGATGAGTGCCTGAGAGGATAAAGAAATGGACACTATGTCCCTAATATTTCCACAGCTGACAAAAGAAGGAAGCGGAGAGAGGGAGAGAGAGAGAGGGAGAAGAAATATTTTTAGTCCAAGAGAAAGTAATAAAAAGTATATATTCACTTGTGCTGGGACGACTTGCAATAGAATTTAGCAAACAAGGGTAATTCGGATGAAAAATCGAACTCTTCTCATCGAAGGACAGTAGGGCGGGAGTTGGATCTCGCATTTTTGGATTTGCAGTGATCTACGCGAAACTGCAACAGCTAAATATGCTTCAACTGTAAATTTTGAGCAAAAAAGATCACAAAAAGTACCAGAGGAGGCTGCGACGATCCTTTCGCGACAGCAAATTCGCAAACAAAAAAAGGAGAAAAGTATTGTTCCCTTAGAAGTGCAAAGGTGAAATACTTCTACGATTACATGACAACAGTGAGGACCATTTAGGGCTTATGGATAATGACATTAAGCCAGTTCGTGTACAACTCAACTTCGATCACTCACTGAGTACTCAATCCTTATTCGATCGATTGAAGGTAGCAAACAGCATCTTTTGATATATTCTGTTTATTTCTCTCAGGTTTTACAGCTTCCGATTAAGGAAAAATAAAAATACAACTGGCCGGAAGTATAAGCTAATCAATTTCTGTTATTTTGAATGAAGTAGTAAAATTTCACTGGGGAAAGCAAAAGGTTTTTGTTAGAAAAAATTGGAAATTTGGTGAGTAGAATGATAAAAAGAAACTGGGAAATGATTCCGACAACGAAATTGTTCCGTCGTCGATCCGTCCTCCGATAGCAAAAAGTATATGGTCATCTCTCCGCTTCCAATGGACAGTTCACAGATTCTTCCCCCGCTAAATGAAATGATATTTGAAAAAAAAAAAAAACAAAAACAAAAGCAGAAACCTCTGCCTTCTGATCCTCATCTGCATTCAGTAAAATTGGAGAGAATTAGAGAAAATTTTGAGTTTGAACTAAAATGCAAACAACACTGATTAATTAATAACCTGAACTTTTTATATTTCATGACTCACAAATGCTGCTCTCGCTGACTTAAAATGTCGCAAATCTTCTCACAAAACAATCTGTGGGGGAGAAAAAACCGCAATAGTTGCGAAATCGAGCGAATTTATGTCATCAGTCACAGTAATATCAAGTGTGACCCCCTTTTTCCGCCAACTTTAATGAAATCATAGACAGATGTGCTAAACCGTTACGACTCAATAGTGAGAATGAAAGATGATCACAGTGACAGGTGCTTGCTGTAGTAAGTAGTAACAGCTAATAGTATGTGATGGTGGCACAGCTAGTGCTGCTAATGAGAGCAATAGTGACAGTGTTGCTAACTGCTAATAAACATAAGGAGTCGCATGCGTCGACAGTGCGTCATCATATAATAATTCCGTGAAGACACCAATGGGGAGTCTCAGTGACACCACCGATAAGAGGAAAGACACTGCCATATAGCAAATTTAGTACAACACTTGCAGCATGAATGTGCGCTAATGGCATAGTAATTATGAAATCTGAAGTAACTGAGGATAGGATCCAATCAGAATGAAATGAAGCGGTAGGTCGATGTGCTCTGAAACGAACGATCCAATGAAGAATATATTTCTTGCCAGTGTAAGTCAATCAGCATTCTAAGAACAAACAGAGTGAGTGACGCCACCGAAACCCGACAGTAAAGCAGATATTGATCGGCTTGAAAATCCTCCCAGATATCACTCGGGTTCCCAGACAGGAATGTTTACTATAGCTAAGAAGAAAAAGAGAAATGGAAAAGAGCTACGCCCACCTCTTTCATCCACGTAAACATTGCATTGCATCAAAATGTTTACTGCAAACATTGCCGTGATGTTGACAGTTGGAAGGACATCTTTACGAGAGCCAAACACGGGAATTACTCTTCGAAACATTTTACCTATCACAAGTCATTCTTCTGTTCGTCAGCGTGGATGAAACTTATGCAATTGATAATTTCTTACCTAATATTGTCTGCCTGCTGCCAGCCCACAGTACAATCAATTATTCCGAATTTCACCGTTACTTATAGCACCATTTCTTTCTCTCCCATGATCTTTTGATCAGCCAGATTAGCATGAAGTGAAAAAAGTCGTTTCATCGCAGCGTGAGTCTAACCACTAATCTCTGAGGTCGCAGAAGAAAAGCCTTCCTTCTACATATGCTCTTTCTTAAAGGTACCATGCTGTTTGGTAAGTAACAGTAATAACTGTTGCCACTGATGCGATTACTTAAAATTATCATTATATTATACAGTGTTCATTTTCATCCTACCACCATCTTTGACATTGTAGCAGCACAAATTGCAAATTACTTGATAGCATGATCAGATGAAGTAAGTAGTGTGAGAGTTGGAATTTTTTGTTTTTACATATTTTTTGAAGAAAGAAATAATAATGAAATGGTTCGGATTTCTATAAATCAGCACTTCTTTCCTGAGCGGCCGCAGGGGAATGTGATAAGAGAAGGAAGGATGAAAAACGACGTTAACAAATGTTATAAAATGATCTCTAAATTTATTTCGAGAAAACAGATGAATAAGTGAGTACCTTCCTACTCTCTCTCTCTCTCTCTCAAGAATTAAACACTGCTTTCAAGAAATTTGTATAATTGAGAAGGAAGGGAAAACAGAATGTGATGATAAACTAAATGTCCAGAAATTTAATACAACAAACATATAAGATGATTCTGAATCATTTCCGAAACCAGACTTGGTTGTGAACGATTTCTTTCGTAAACTTAACCGATTTCTTTTCACGATTAGAGCAGATAGACAGCCCCCACTGGCCTTATTCCCTTTACTGACTGAAACAAATGTAAAAAATAATCGCAATTACCGGTATCGAGTGGACAACTCAATTTCAATCAAATTATCAATTGACTTTTTTAAGACTGAATGCAATGGCTAAATTACTGGTAATGTCACACTTGGAATAAAAAAATTTGCAGATAAAATTTGGATAAAAGCGGATAATGATTTTGCCCTGGGGATATATCATATATTGTCTAAGAAATTGGAAGAAGTGAGAAAAGTACAGCGGGAGGCCTGAACTTGGCTTTTTTGTCTAATGAGCAATTAGGAAACGACCGATTCCTGTCAACAAGCAACTTATTCTTAGGAAGACGGAAATCAGGTACTCATACTCAGTGATTTACGCAAAGCAAGTCACTGTTGTTCGAAGTTAAATTGACAAGGTAGGATAAGGGATTAGTGCGTGAATTATTGATATGAACAAGAAGAAAAGCGATGAAAATGATATCCACAAAGACTTCAACACTGAAACGGTGACAAATCAGTTGGAGCCGACTTATTTCTGGACCGAAAATAATTCTTTGGGTTGAAGTTCTTTCTGCGAAAAAGGCAGTGAAAGAGAGAGGAGCGGGTTGCGAGCAGAGGAGCTTAATGGCTAGGTGAAGAGTGCCGCTGAGGAGCATGTTTATCAGTTCCAAAAATAAACAATATTGTCTCCCACTGAGAGAGACAGCGAGAGTGGGGTGCACAGACAGCTGGTTATCCTCACCGGAAAGGCACTAACCTAAAACTGATCTCTCCCTCTCTGCAGTTACGACACCATCCTTTTCTCCGAGTAAATTGCTTAATTAACACTCCGGTTATAATAACAGCAGCATAGTAGCAACAGTGAGAGTGAGGGAACCAATAAAAACAATTATGTGACAAAAGAATAAGCAATGTTCGGGACCGTATATCATCAACTTCGTTGATCCCACTCGAGAAGAGAGAAGGGGACAATTAATTTGCATGAACAGTAAGGACATCATGTAAATTTATGAGCTCAAAGTGGAAACGACGGAGAGATTTGTTGTTCCAGCTGATGATTCTGATTCTCATGAGATAACGAAAATCGTAATGGAAGAAGGAAAGAAAGTTTGGGTGTCGTCGTCTCTTCGGCAACTTTGTCATTCTCCGCGGGGATTTCTTGAGCTACAAGCCACGGACTGCTTCCTTAATGAAGAAAGAGGAAACTGACTGCTCATTAGTGCACTGAGCCATCGAAACAAACTGTCACGTATGCAGTTGAGGAGAGACAAATGAGGAACTGCTCTGCCACTTCGCGTGTCCCTTAAGTACTCGTGACAACCGGTTTTGTGTATCAACAACATTCAGCAATTATCTGCTTGTTCAGGCCCTCTCAGCTTCTTTCTGTACCGCCTATTCTCTGTGGAATAAACCTGCACTGCAACACTGCAGTTTAGTGTCGAATTCACGATATGAACAGGAAGAGAGTGTTCCGGAATTAGACGAAATCCACCGCGTTATCTTTTTCACACAAAACTCGAATGAAGAAAGAAATTTCAATCACATACTGGGATTTCTGGCCCTAAGGAAGCAGCTCCTCGACAGTCCCGGTTCTCTTCTCATTTAAACATACTGTCAGGTTGTGGATAACATAAGCTGTGACCCCAGTGATTCCTGTTTTTCCTTTGCAAGCAATCAAAATTTGGGACAGAACAAAAGAGGAATTTTGCAGAGCAACTTTCATACGGTTTATCAGCGGATACTGTGAAAAAGCTCTAACTTTCAATGAATTACAGTGTGAGAGATTGTTTTGAAAAAGTGAAAAATTTGTCGACGAGAAAAAAGAAAAGCATGCAAACATATTGTGTACCAAGTACATAATGATATTACCAGAATGATTCATCCACACTGCCAGCACAAAACGTGGGAAGAAAGGTCGGATTCTACCGGGTCCGACCTTTCGAATCCGCCGAAAACTAAACAACGAACATTTCTTCACGCTCACTCAATTTGAAATTCAACAATTTTGAATGTATCACACACACACACACACACACACACACACACACACACACACACACACACACACATGTGCCCTCTCGCAAGGGAAACAATAATCATCTAACTTCTCAGTTTTGGATAACAAAGTTTCGCAGCAAAACTCTTGATCGAAATTATGCACAATATGGATCAATAGCATGCATCTTCTCTTCAAAATACACTCTGACCTTGGACTGAAACAGGAACAGCTGAGAACGAATTCGAGAACAAAATAGCTTCCCTTCACTTTTCAGAGTACGACTCTCTCTGCCAACTGCATTTGTAGGACTTCCCGAACCACTGAGGGAAATTGCAATGTATAGGTTGTACAATTCTCCTGCAAGACAGATGTGACTGTTAAAAATTCATTTATCCTTCTCAAAACTATTTATATATTTGGTTTAATTGAACGCAAACGACAGTTAAATAGTTATATTTAACTGTCGTTTGCGTTCAATTAAATCACTGAATCGAAAACCGATCAGAAAACACTCCAATCTATCCTTCATATAACTATTTATATGAAGGATAGAAAGGTTTTCGATTCAGCTTGTGCAACTTATCCGAGACTTCGGAAAAACTAAAGAGGAAACTTAAACTGATTGAAATGATAGTTTATGATGGATTATTGATTACTAGTAGTTGTGAGAGATTTGCATGACATCTATCACTCTTTCTTCTCACTCTCCTTGCAATACTTGCCGAATTCACTGACACTGACCTACAAAAAAAATTAGTCTGAATGTCTTTTAAGCAATCGCAGAAGAAAGTGTCGCAAACCAATTGCGTGACGCTGCAATCGTCGTAACATTGGTCATGCTTCAAGCAACAAGAATTTACTGAAAGTAAAGTGACGACACAGAAATCGTATGACGTATTCATTTCAGAAGGGTATTCTCATCTACTTTCCCGTAACAGTATATTCTTGTCTTCGACAAGCAGTTTGTCATTTGTACAAAGCTAAGAAGCCCGGTCAGGCAATTTCTTTCACTGGCCTAGCAATAATTGACTGAAAATTGATTGATTAACTTAAAATCTGGCACTAACTCCGATACTGCTCGCACGGTATGGTGAGCAGTTGGGACACAAACTGGTAAAATGCATTATTATTTGGACCGCAGTAGTACTTGGATGTCCATGAATGATGTACGGTAAGTATCAGTGGGAAGAATATGCGGAACATATCTTCAAATACATAGACCTGAAGTAAACAGAACGCAATAGCAGTCGTAGATTTGATTTAAATTTAGACTTTACGTCGATTGAAATTAGCAGGAAACAAATCTAATACTATTTGTCTGCTACCAGGTTACCATAAACTTGCAACCAATTATTACAAATTTCATCCTTAGTCATACGTGTGTTCCTTACATTCAGCAACACGGCGGCGACAGTTGCGGCGACAAGGGGACACTGATAACATTGGGACATTCGCGCATCACCTCCTACTAACAGAACAATGGCCTACTGTGATTTTATCCGCCGCTTCACGGTAGAATTTGCATAAATAATATTCGTCCTCTGCATTCCGCAGGAACTTTGCCGCTCGCTTTCTGCGTCATCTTAAAGACTATCGACCTTCCTTTGGAATGGAGAGAAATGAAAAGATCAGTCCAAGAGAAATGTCAGATATGCATTGTGGAGACGATGAGCAGCAGTTTGGATGTTGCACAGCAAAGTTTCCTCAAAACTAGAAAGTTTAAAATGCAGTTATGATGAACCCTATTTAATATGTCCTCCTCTGGAAAGTGTGCCCCACAAATCTCTCCATAAAACTGCAACACTCCGTGATGCAGTGCTAAAGAAGAAGAAATAGTGCATTTCGAAGAGGAACTGTTGAGAAGTGATATAATGATCGAAAATGAGTAAATGACGTTCTGGGTGGTACGAACAGCCGAGAATTTTGGACAGACACACACACACACACATTTAGATATATCAGATGACGACTCGAACACCGCCATGAATTGTGAGAAGCAGCTTTTCCCCGACTTCTGCTTCCTGATTACTTATCAGCCACGATCTATCTGTCCTTTCCTGTGCCCGTACAAAGATCATTATACCGAGAAGTGGCCAGGGGCAAGCTGATCGTTGTGGTAATAACAGCTGCTTAAATATTTCCATTATTCCTGTTGCTCGGATAACCTGACATTCAAACGCTCCTTCAACCGTACCTTTTGCATATAGTTCTGCTACAACGTCGAATTCTGTGGGAAAACAGAAATGAATTTTATGTGGTGCGCAAGAATCATCGTTAAATTAATCGTTGGAAAATTAAACAAGTAGTTCGAGCGGTAGATTGTCGAATGGGAAAATTCTGAAATTATTTAAAGTGATCTTTTTATCCGATAATGAATGGCAGTAGTGATATGTGGGAGTGAAGAGAAGATGAACAAGGTGTCCCGACCGCTTCGGTGTCAGTCGCTACTGCGGGAGAAGTGCACGAAATTGAATGCACGGGGAGTGACAGAGGTCGCAGGGCGTGAAGGTCGATCACTCTAAAACAGGATCCCTCAGCATAAATGCACTTATTAACATTGATTCCTTCGAAGATTGCAATGCAACTCATGGAGACTGGAAATTGTCGACATTTCCCACTACTTTCCTAAAGTTCTTGTAATTTCCAAATGTATAAGTTATATTAAGCAGTAATGTAATGCTAATTTATACGGTAGAAATACTGAATCACAGACAGAAAAGGTTGCTGACTCATCACCATTCATCTGTAGTTTACAGAAACTGTGACAACATGTAAACAGTTGCAAAATCCATTGGACTTGTGAAGATTCACCAATTAGCGCACGATATCCTGCATCTTCACAAAACACACCGATCAAATGTTTCGAGATTTAGATTGTGCAAGTAACAAATAACACGATTGCCGAAACATCAGCAGAGCAGCTTCGAAAAAACTTTGAAATCGCAGCCATAACCAAAAGTAAGCCAACTATCTGCATGAAAAATATCCATCCTATCTTACTGTATCGAGCAGTTGTAGGAAAGTTTCTTTCTTGAATTCTGTTGTATTTCGCTCCCTTCGCTTTTCTCAGTTCAAACAAGCAATGGTGAATGATAGTTGCCGAATGGCGCCTAATGTCGCCATTCATTTTAGACTGCCATTTATCCGCTAATGCTAACTCTCACTCAACAAGCAATGTTCCGATGAAATTTCTCCGCAGTGACAGTGAGCGGTAAAGTCCCAACAGAGAGTTTCCCATTGCAGGATCAGTTCAGACGTCTTACAGTTGCAGTAAGATGGCTGGCCACTGTGTTGCTTGTAAAAAGAAAACTTTGAACGTTAGCAATTACTCATTAGCCACTTACTACTAGTTTGCTCAGGGGTTGCGGAACAGAATTTTTTGTTAACCAATCATCCGATTTAAACATTTATGAGCCAATAGTTAACCTATTTAAATAATTTAATTAAAAGTAGAAAAAATAGCTTTGCCTGCTGGATAATTCATATCCCTGCATGCAAAGCGAAAATTCGAAAGTAGAACTGATATTAATTCAGTAGATTACTTGCTCTTCATCTTTACAATCAATTTCAACAAAAGGGAAGTTTTCTCTTACCGATAAACGAATGTCTTAAAAAAAAGCCTAACTAATTAATGAACACCTAAACGAAGACATCGTGATGCACATAACCTGTAAACAGTGCATCATTAAGCGACTGCGAAGTATGAAACGCTTACGGAAATTTAAATGTACATGCAGAGAGGCCACGGAGCGATTGCAGTAATGCCTAATGGTGACAAAAACAATTCCGCATGGATTTACTTTCATACACATCAAATTACTTTGGTATATCACACTAGGGTCACCAATGAGATTAATTAACCATTGTGTAATATAAATGAGAAGGATTTCTCGACTTTCGGAATATGTGAAAAAGTGCAACATATTATTGTACAGCTATCGGAAGAAATGTTCGAAAAATGGAGGAAGGAAAAAGCGAGCGCTAATGCATAGCAGTTCTCACATTGAACATTTACAATCACAACTGAAACTTACCATTGCTGACCTCGAGAGTTAACAAGTCATCATAGGAAAATAAGCCTGTTCACGCAGCTATTCCTAAATAGAAACTGCTAACCAACTATAACCCCACGCTTCTCCATTTCCGCTATTACCGACAAATGAATCGCCCCGAAACGGAATATTGGCCATGATGTAATCGTTCACCCTGCGAGCGGATTTCTTCCATCACAAGTTCCCGAGTTTATTTTGCTTCTAAGCACACGCCACACATCTCCTCAGCATTTTTATTTCCACTCTGCTATACGTGTATAAATAAGATGTTTCCCAAATTCTCCTCAAATAATGCTGCACAAAATGTCGTCAAGATCATCACATGAATCCACTGAATTCATTCAAGACAAGTAAGGACAATTCCTGAATTCGCATGGACGTTTCCATCAAGATCTCAGCAAACGATTTGTAATGAATTTTCTCCCACTGCTCGGATATTGTTCAGAATGGAAATTGAAAAATTAAAGACCAATAGTCTATGTCAACAAAAATTTCCTTCTTTTTGCAAAAAGATAACTGAGACGCCATAATCATAAGGAGTGGAAAAAGTTAAACTGCTAAAGAAAATAACAATTACTTACCGATGATTTCAAGACACAATTAACAAAACTGAAAAAATTGTTCTCTACAGATTCTTATTAAATGTCTTCAACTGTATTAAAGACACATAATGGAATAAAAATATGATAAAATGACAATTAATGGTATGCTTATCGGTCATCATTATTATCATCCTCATCAGAAATTAGCACATTAATTAAAAAACTCCGTCCTAGCATTTGACATTAGTCTTACAGAAAACGTATTTGCAACTGAGTCGAATATGCAGTTATGCCATTTTATTGTGCGATCAAAGAAACATTCTGATTGTTCAGAATTATGAAAACATGATAGCACAAGGTTGACAAAGCAAACAAAATTTGCGATCAACATCTATTATGCAACATTTAATGCAGTTTTAATTTCTTATATCAACAAAGTTTTCTAAAATCTTCCTCTGTATCGCTGTTAAGTTGCAATGTTTACCAATACGGTCCACTTCCGATTTCAAATCTTCTGATAGTGAATATAATGCCATAATTTGCAAACAACAGCTCGCATTATACCAATTACCTTCATTTAGTGCTTCCTGCATCAATAAATTTAAAATTTCGTAACTCGGAGATCCTGAAATGTCGTTAAAATTTTAAAGTTAATGTGACGGATCCTGAAAGGATCTTCTTTGGCATAATAAACAGAAGAATCATTAAAAATAAACAAGCAAAAAGACATACTTTCATTGCTAACTGTAGCAGTTTCACCTTGTTTCGCTTCTTCATCTAATAGTAATGCTAGAAACTTCCACGCACGTTCCCTCTCCTCCAGTTTCATCATCAATAACGACATATCCGCTATCTGTTGTAAACAAGAATGTTAGACTTTCATTAAAAGAGAATTTTTGGTATTTATGCCACTTCTAAGGAAGCAACCTGAAGCATAAATTAAGATTTCAGTTGCCGAACTAAAATTTTAAACTTTTTCTCTCTTCTGAAAAAGACAACTTACGAAATCAGACTCTAACTTCTTTTGAATCTTTTGCAAGTGCTTTACTTCTGAAAACCGGCTTACTTCCACAAAAATATCAACGATTTTTATAACTAAATCGAGAAGCTCTTCTTTCTGTTCCACAGTCATTTTCTAAAAATATATCAAGCGAATAGATCTGCCATAAATAATTTAGCCACACAAATAATATTTGCCATTATGGAGTAATGAAACTGTAATCTGCATTGAATTTTTTCTGGACAAAATAAATGCCACATTTTAGAAAGACCGAAATTTGCGGAACTATTCAATCAATGATCACAAAATATCCGTAGCAAAATCTGACTGCATAACGTAACTTGAAACAGTTAGAAAGCAGCTAAGTATAGCTATCAGTCAGATTTCAAAAATGTAAAATGACACAGAAGGAAACACCTTTAAATCTATGCTAAGCAGATAAGAGCGCAACTGTTGATTTAGATGCGGTCGCAAAATATGTCGACTTGTAATAAAATCTTCAATCAATCGGCGCGAGAATAACCATGGCACATTCTTTTCAGTCTGAATAAAATTCCTTGATTCATTATATTTTACATATGGTGATGAAGATTTTTTATTATAAATTTTTTTAAAATTCTGAATGAAAGAATTCAGAAAGTCAAACGCTGCAAAGAAAATGGAAAATTTGAAAAAGTTTTAGTTCTACAAACCTGCAATCTTCGAAGCATAATCACTGCCAAATTATTGGATAATGGAACAATCCGTGGGACCAACGACATATATTGCTTTTCAAGCTCTTGCAGAGGCAACTGATCAATTACAATGCGTAAATATAATCCATAAAATCTTGAAAAAGACACATGCTAATTTGAACTGGATGACATGGTAAAAAAGCTTAATTTAATATTCAATTCCCTTCTACGAATAACGATCGCTTGAAATATTTACCAAGAAATACTTGAAATATTTATCAAGAAATCAAGAAATCCGGCAAATTACTCGGCATAGCTGCATGCCAAAAGGAGCTCACAAACAATTCATCATTTGTTTAATTAGTTAATTTATTGGAATCTCGAGATGCAAAAAAAATTTGACATGGATGGAAATCTAAATCAGTGGACAAAACATACTCTGCTTCCCCCAAAAAAGCGGGTAAACGAACATAATTGTTTGGTGCATGATAGAGGGCTAATATTCTCTCTGCGACTGCAGTACTCCTTGTCTGGTACGCAAAATCCATTGCACTAATAAAAAATTCTTCATCACCTTTTTCCAGTATTTCAATTGCTTCAGTCTGCTCAAGTTCTGCCAAAATATGCATTAGATGCGCTAATGAGACAGACTGCAAAAAATATTGAGTCAACTTTTTTAAAAAATGAGGGAAACAAAAATAGCATGCGCTCTGCCAAATTCAAAAATAATAAATGATCCCATTCAAAAAGACCAAATTGACTGCATTTTACCTTGTTAACGTTCCTTTGCTTTAGACAACTCTTCATTATTAACGAATACGTACGTAAACTTGGCTTACATCCCACGGTCGTTGCTTCATTCAATATTTTGATTGCTGTATTAAACTGGTCACGAAGTTGCTACAACTTCTTTCTTTCAGACATTAAAGATAAAAAGACAGAGTAAAAAATATGAAATCACTGATTAAACAAATCAATCAAATGGTTTTTGGTTAAAATTTCTTATCTCTTGAATGAGATAAAAGAAGATGAATCAATTCGTGACATCGTAACTGATTTCAATATAGTCAAGTTTTTAATGGAATAAGGTGTCAGTTAGAACAAAAATGTTCACTGAAATGGGAATAAATTTTATGAAGTTCTGTAATAGAAGCTCTCTGTAATAACGAAAGGTGTACAAAAACTTAAAAATGAAATCTGAATAAGGTTGATAAATTAGATTGATGGTAGGATTGAACATACTTCAACATATAGTGACTAGACTAGCTTTATATTAACGGATAATGAAGGAATTTAGAACAAGTAAATTTTTTCACAAAGAGAATGGAGTGTGTAGATTTTCAACCATGTATAGAAGTGGAAAGAGTTCGTTCTTTGTATACGTGGTTTTACTGATCAGTAAATATAAAACAGTTTATCTCTATAAACAAAACCCACCAGTGATATAGATTTCTCAATGAAAACATTGAAAATTCCAATATTTGGTTTAACATTACATAATGCCATATCTTTCAAATAAAATATCGCTTCCTGCCAAGTCTTCGCAATTGTAATTAGACCATAGTATGCCTCAACAGTTGCAACAAAATCTTTCTCGCGCATTTCCTTAAATATCAAATGTTCTCAAAAATTCAAATATAACCATTTCCTATGATACAACCAATTCTTATGAAATAGTCAAAAGCTTATACCTTATAAAGTTCTAAGGCACGTGCAGAACATTCAACGTTACGATATTTACACAATCCAGATATCATTAGGGAATAAATTTCTTCATCTTTCTCAAGTTCTTCGAATAAAAGATCAGCTGCACCACCCTGACAAGATTAATTATCAAATCATGATTTACAGCACTCTTGATAATAATGAGTTTAGAAAATGTGAAGCAACCCTACTATAGATTTCTGCACCTGATCACTAAAGTAATAATTCAGTTATTTCAGAATAATATATTTCTTTATCAGAGAATCTCTATCCTTCTTACAAATATGATCGATTATCTGCTCACATAAAGGAGCCCCATTATCCATAACGCCCACTTTTTCAATTCAAGCTTCAACAGAAACAATCGGTTTTAGGTAACAAACAAATGTTAAATATCGTTTTGACCTACAAGAAGGTACCGAACACAAATTCTGGTCCTATTTCAAAAGTAGATTTTTAAGAGTCACTCCCATTTCACGGTAGAGAGTCAGAATAAAGTTTTGTTGAAATTAATGAACAATTACCCAGAAATGATGACGGAATATCAAAAGTAATAAAAAATAACAATCGCATCAATAAATGCGATACAACATAGACGTTCTTTATCGAATTAAAAGGCTATTTTAGATTATGAAATAACGGACTTCTCCTGTACTCTACCATTTCTAATTAAAATTCTTAACCAACTCACACTATCCCATATTTCTGGTTCTTGTTTCACTTGACAGCCATAATTTCGCCATCCATGCCATGGTATTTCAGCCGTTGGAATTGGCTTACAGTTATAGTAGACCAATAGGCAAAATAAGTCAACCTTAAATAGCTTAAAACTCTGAGATCACGAAAATAAAAAATAAACAAATAAGAATATAGATGATCTTGAACATTTAACATTGCATTTGAATGATTCTGAGAACAACAAAACCATTCAGTCCTTCTCACAATTAATGCACGACTCACTAAGCATAACTGTGTAGCAAATATGAAGAGTTGACGCTGCAAAACTATCAAACTGTTCCATTTAATGAAGGCTAATAAAATATCAATAGCTCAAATGATTTATTTTCTAACAATAAATATTCATCAAAAAATTATCTGAAAATTTGAATAATCACAGGATAACTGACCAATACTTCTCGAGGTATTGTGATATTTTCGATGGCTAATTTATCGTACAATTGATTCGCACCCACTACCTCCTTTCTTGCAATCAATTTTTGTAAATTTTCAACGGTAGGAGCAAGCTCAGAAAGATCGGGTGATTTCTGGGGTCGATAAGCTTGAATACGTGGGACATCTGTATCATACATGAATAACGTTGGCCATTCTTGAGCAAGCTGTTGAGCTGCACGACGTCCCATTTCCTAATTTATATATTTGGAATAATTCTCGTTTAACAAATTTTCCGACTGCCAGGTCTATCAAACGCAAGGAGATATAATGCTGCGGTTCATGAAACTTTGGTATTTTCTAATGGCGCCTTTGTCATTACAAAAAATACAACAAATAGTTCAATAATATTATATCTGATAATCGATATACCCATGTTAAAGAACTCCTGCAATATTAACTTTATTTTTGTGGTAAGATAGAAAATGGGTGCACCCATATCAGGAATATATCCACTCAGATAACGAGGGAGAGTTTTTTTTATTCATTGACATTTTCATCAGAATGTCAAATAAGAAAGAATTAATCAAAATGATCACACCTTAGCAACAAAATATAAATCGCGTTGAGAATCTGTGGGAATTGTCAACGGATCATCAATAAGAGCAAAATGTGGAGCTGTCGGGTCGGCATCAATTGTATCAGCCAGTGCGCGAAGCAAATCAGTTGGACTGCGCTAAAATTTTTTTCAACAAAAAGAAAGCAGCACAGAATATTGAAAGTTTAATTATTAATCCAAATGTAGAAGCATTTTGATAAATAAATCAATAAAAAAATTCTTCCGCTTTGACATTATCTTAGATCCTCACATAAATAAGCATCACTTTGCTCCACCAAATTATCTAGTTGTTATGCTCATGCTTTAAATCAGATAAAATTTTATACTTCCTCAAAATCTTGATCGCTTTACCCTAAATCTCAATAATTTTTCCAGTAAACGGTAGTAGTAATAATAGCAATAATAATAATAGCAATAGGAATAACAATAATTATTATTACTATAACAATCAATAACTTCAACTGACAAAAGGATGATTAAATCGACTGCTGTCGTTATATCAGGAAATAATTTAATTATAGACAAAACATAAAAATACAAGAATTTTAGATTTAACTATCAATCGATCATGAGAAAAAATGCTATGGTTTCTCAGTATAGCATAAACACCTGGTGAAACGCAAAAGGAATTGAGAAACCGTTTTCTATGGGCCTTGATTTTTTTTTCACGCGTGAAAAAATCAAAACGAATAGAAAACAGCAGAGCGACTCCAAAGAAAAACTCTACCGCAAACTGCACATAGAGTGAAAAAGAATTCCACCAACACTTTAGTCCGGAGAAGGATCTCCAAGTGACATGTCAAAATTCAAAATCCTGGTATTTAAGTAGTAATGAAAACGATACTCTCACCATAGTTATGATAACCATCATGAACACAGAAGAGGGAAAACTTGCCTTAACAGCATACGGTATCTCGACTTTATCCATTGCATTTGGTGATAATTCTTTGCCAGTCGGTGAATTCTCAGCGTTAATCACAGTGGTGGATAATAAATTTCGAGATGATATGGATGCACCCAATTTCTGCCATTTGTTTAACGATCGAAACATGCTGCGACTATACCACTATTATCTTACCGCTTCGTGCAAGGATAAGAAGAAATTTTTTGTCTAAAAATATCTCTACGATTTAACTGGCTAAAATTCTAGAAAACCGCTATTTCGGACGGTATTTTTTGTTACTCTCATTGTTTGCCACCTTAAAGCTTTGAGATGTCAAACAGTGAAAGCAAGAAATGAAAAGAAATGCAATTGATGCAGGAGAAGAGAGTAAAGAACTCTGGCATGAAGTATTAGGTTCGTAAGGTCCATTTAATTTAAGCAGGTTTAAATGTGTCATTAATCAAAGAAGGAATGATGACAATCATTTCAATGAACGGGAAAGAAGTTTGTTTTTCCTTAAAACCTGTGCTTCGGGATTCCACAGCACTTTGCTAGTGTGTACACCGCTTCAGCAGTGAGGTATATTGGCGAAGAGGCAAACTTTGTCGTTCAATTCCTATAATTTCGAAAGCGCTGTTTATCTATTCAGGCGTCCTTCTCAAGAGTAGCCTTTTCTGTTTCTGTTGGCACTGTCAGCTGAGGACATTCGCCTTATTGAGTTGCTCTTAGCAGAAGACTACCACACAGTCC